ACAAAACATTCTTAGAACAAGTTTTTCTAATCATTTGTCATATTTCCACAAATAAAAGTAACACAATAATCTCAATAAGTGGTTAGAAGAAGGATCCTAAAATCAACTGGGTGATACATTCCAAGTTTTACATTTCTAAGACACACGAGATCAGATGTATCTAGAACATGGCCAGCAAATATGACTCAGACCCAAGTATGCCCACTATATACCTGTGAGCTAATAACAGTTTTTACATTTTATACATGATGTAAGAAACATACAAAATATAATGTTTAATAAGTGGAAATTGTATGAACTTTAAATTTTAATACCCATAAAGTTTTATGAAATCAACAATAAAAAACTTTACAAAGTTAAAAGAGTTCCATGAAAACTTGCACAGAGATCATTGAGTGGATGGATACTTAGCCACTGATCCATGTAGAATGTAAAATTTTAGCAATTGTATCAAGAACAAACTCCAAGTAAAAAAAAAGAAAATTATAGGAAGTCTTAACGATATTTTAAATGGAGGTTCTATGATCTACAGTACTGTTAATGATGGTTTATCATGCACATATTTCCAACACCTAATCCATCAGAAATGTACCCCCTTCTCTTCCCTAAGGTCCCAAACACCCCTCCCTTTCAAACTCCACCACACCACCAACTCAACTGTGTGCATCAGTTCTCCCATTGTGTTTCTTTGATCCTTTGTTTCTATCTTGCTGTATATCTTTAAGTCCCACACATGAGAGAGATCATTCTGTTTCTATCAGCGGTTTCTTTATGACTTCAGTAAGCGTATCCTCCAGTTGCATCCATGTTGATGTAAACTGTATGATCTTGTTCTTTTGTAGAGCTGTGTAGTATTCCACTATATTATACATACTATAAGATATAATATATTCCATGATATATTGTATATAATACTAACAAAGAAATTGCAACATATATCACTTAATCACTTAACTTCCCGTTAGTCGGCGATTTGCTTGAGCGGGCGCCAGTAACGTCTCCATTTGTCCCTGTCATGTGCTAGTGTAGCCCAATGGCATCTGTTCGCTCTGGGAACATGAAGAGCCTCAAACCGATCGTTCATGATCTTAAGGAAGAAGTCTGACCATCTGGTAGGTGGACGGCCACGCGGTCTTTTGACATCCCGTGGAATCCAGTCAGTAACAGCTCTAGTCCAGCGGTCATCTTTAAATCTCATTACGTGACCAGCCCATCTGATTTTTGACACCTTGGCAAATGACATAGCGTCCCTGATTCTTGATCTCTTGGCGGATGTCGGAACTCCGGATTCTTTCTCTCATTTGAGTGAAACATGATATTCCAAGCATAGCTTTCAATTTCTCTTTGGGAGACCTGAATAGCATTCTCATCCTGTTTACATAGGTTCCAGGTCTCTGAGGCATATGTTAATGCAGGAAGAACAGTGGAATCAAAGAGATGTGCCTGGAGCCGGAGGTTCTTCATCCTCTTAGCTATTTCTTCGACGTTCTTGAAGGCATTCCAAGCCGCTCTCTTCCTCCTGCGCAGTTTGGGTGCCAGGTCATTTGTCATGTTGACTTCTCGACCTAGGTACACATAGCTGTTGCATTCGGAGATGGTCGTTACGTTGAAAGCGAATGGGGCATCAGGAACGAGGCTGTTTCTCATAAACATTGTCTTCGTAAGATTCAGCTGTAGTCCTACCTTTCCACACTCACGGTCAAAGTCGGCCAGCATTTGTGCTGCTTGGCTGATGTTTGGTGTTATTAAAACAATGTCATCAGCAAAGCGGAGGTGGTGTAATTGCCAACCATCTATCTTCACTCCCATTCATTCATTCATTCATTCATTCATAATATATAACAATATATATTATATCACAACTTCTTTGTTAAAACTTAATTTTATTATTCAGTCACCATGAATTACAAATGATTGGGTTTCAGGCATACCCTGTTCCAATATCAGTTCCTTCACCATTGTCCCCAGTTCCCCCCCCCCCCCCCGAGCCTGCCTCTACTGCAAGCATTTTATACCTACTTTTAGCATTCTGTTCTCCTCCAGAGTACCCACTTCCCTCCACTGGTGTCATACTCTACCCTTCTCTAACCTATTCCCACCTCACACCAAGTGAAAAAAGCTTTTTAATTCCTATTGGAAACCAGCTCTCATCTCCTTGTTTCTATTTCCTTTGGGCATTTGTTATTCCCCAACTATGTTTCTTTATATTCCACATTTGAAGGAATATTCTGTGAATTTTCCTCTCCCTTGGACTAACTTCCCTCAGCACGATACTCTCCAGATGCTCCACATAGCACCAAATCGTATGACTTTATCTTTCCTTATGGCTGAGTAGCAGTCTATTGTATACCATAGTTTCTTTATCTAGTCATCTGTCTTGGGCACTTGGGTTATTTCAAGATTTTGGCTATTGTGAATAATGCTCTAAAAAATATAGGAGTGCAGCTTAAACCACAACCTCTGTATCCATTCATCTGTAAATGGGCACTTGGGTTGTTTCCGTATCTTGGCTACTGTACTAAGTGCGACAAAGCACATAGGTGAGCACTTTTCCTTTCAAATGAATGTCTTTGTGTTTGGAGGAGATATATTGAGAAGTGGTATCACTAGACTGCATGGGAGTTGTAGTCCTATTATTATTTTGAGAGATCTCTATATTGCTTTCCATACAGGCTGAACCAAAAGGCATTCCTACTAACAACAGGTGAGGGTTCCTTTCTCACCACAACTCCACCCAACAATGACTGTTTCCAGACTTTTTGATATGTAATATTGCCACTTGTGTGAAATGATGTATCAGTTTGCTTTTATTTGCATTTCCCTAATCACTAGTGACAATGAGCACTTTTTCGTATGACTGTTGGCAATTCATGTGTCTTTTTTGGAAAATGTCTGTTCATCTCCTTGCCCCATTTGTGGATGGGATCATTGGATTTTTCATTTTAAAAATAATTTTATTGACTTAAAGAACCATGATTTACAAAGTTATTAGCAGTTAATTTTATTAATATAATATTTAACACCAATCCCCCAAACAGGGTCAACTTCCCTCCACCAAAGTTTCCATATTTTGTCCCCACACCCTACACCCAACCCCTACCCTGCCATGTTCCATGAAAGGAACATTAAAAAGTTCCAGTGGTTGTAGCTTAGATTTTATGTTTTCATTGTTGTTAAGTCTGTGTTTTGGATATATGGCTATACCATTCTTCTACATCACCATTAAAACTGAAGTCTCAAGCCATTTCCCATTACTTTCCTTTCTATTCTTCTTCTTCCCCCCTTGATTCCCTTCCTTCTTTGTCCTCCTCTCTAAACTCTGGTGTCAAGAGTAATCTACCTCTAAGACAGAAACTCTCCTTTTTTATCTTCCCTTTTAACAATGTGGTTTACAACACTGTTGCTGATATAGGGTATCATGCACACTGTTTTAACTCCTTTCAGCACTATGTCCTCCTTCAGAGTGACCACTTCTGTTCACAATTATGGTATTGTTCCCCTCATTGACTGACAAACAACAACCCTGTGGCAAGTTTCTTACTGAAGACCAACTCTGCTCTCATTTCTATTGCCTCTGGGCACTTGTTATTCCCAAACTATGTTTCTTTATACACAGCATATCAAAAAGATCATTGTGTCTGTCCCTTTCCCTCTGCCTAACTTTATTCAGCACGACACTCTCTAGATCTATCTAAGTAGCAGCAATTTGCATAACTTCATCTTTTCTTGTGGCATGTAGTATTCCATCGTGTATGTATACCATAGTTTCTTTATTCAGTCATCTGTTCTAGGGCAAGTGGGATGTTTACAGATTTTGACTATTGTGAACAGCGCTGAAATGTTCACAGGAGTACAAATGTCTATTCTGAGCATGTTTTTGGGACCTTGGGGTTTGAAGGAGTGGAATTGTTGGGGTATTTGGAAGTTCAATTCCTAGATTTTAAGCAATATCCATATTGTTTTTCAAAAATGTTTGAACAGTCTACATTTCCACTAGTAATGAATGAAAGTCCTCTTTCCCACTCCCATGCCAAGGTATGGCTGTTAATCAAAATGGTGGAGTATATGGAGGAGATGATAAGTGGAAATGAAGTCAGCAAGTGGAAAAATTAAGGGATTATATGGGTCACCTACATCAAATCTGAGATAACATAAGAGAAAAAAAGTGGTTCACAGACTCAGAACCTTTACCACAATATACCATGACACCAGGCATAACAATGAATGAACTCAGGAGTTCTGATTCAAATATTCTGCATGGAACAGTTAGTGTTGCAAGTAATGTTAAGATTTTATTTATTCTTCTCTAGAATAAGTTCACCATAAAAACTCTTATACTGTGGTTATTTGTAAATGCATATATTTATTTTCTTTACTAGCTGGAAATATCTTTACAAGCTGATATATATATCTATATATACTTATATATAGATATATATATCTTACTCATTTGCATATCCCAAGAACTAAGAAGATGGTCTGGAATATAGTAGGTAGTAGGGATTTTATTTTTATATTTTTTATTTTTATTAGTGAAACACCATGAGGTACAGTTGTAGACTTACAAATTTTTGTGCTTGAGTTTCAATCATACAACGATCAAACACCCATCCCTCCATCAGTGCCCACCCTCCACCACCACAGGTCCCAGTATCCCTCTGACCCCCCATCCCCCCACCCCACCCTGCCTCTGTGGCAGGGCATTCGCTTTTGTTCTCTCTCTCCTTTTGGGTGTTGTGGTTTGCAAAAGAGGCATTGAGTGGCAATCATGTTTGGTCTATAGTCTACTATATTATATAACGTGTGTATGATTTATAAGCCTCTGACTGGGGAATTCAGATGTACAGCTGCCATGATTTGTAAAGGAGAAGTGGTTTGTGTGTGAGCTGTGTTTATGTGTAATAGGGACACAGCACTTTTCTCTCTAGAAACCTGGCCAGACTGGTCATTCTCCGTGGCACTGCCCTTACTGCTTCCCCACTTCAGCCCTGCTTTCCTACCTTAAGTATATGTCAGTCTCCAACCCAAAGGATTCATGTTCAACAGCTTTCTCAAAGGACATCTGGGTATTCTCAGGCCCCAACTATGGAAGAAAAGGACAGCAGGCTTTATGCCTCAGAGTCTCTCCCCCTAACATCTCTTTTATGACAGGAATGAAACCTAGTATTAAAGGATTTAGGGAGCTGGCTTGGCTTCGTTGGCTGTTTATAACAGGAGCATAACTACATTTTCTTCTATTCCCTATGCTGCTACTCTACTCTTCTAAGGCAATTATCACTGGGTATAAAAAGAAAAATGGTTAAAAGCTAGAAGACCTGGGTACAAGACCAACCTCTACAGTTAATTTCTTCTTCATGTCATTTTTATTTTCTTTTTATTTTAAAAATATGGAACGCTTCACAAATTTGCGTGTCATCCTTGCGCAGGGGCCATGCTAATCTTCTCTGTATTGTTCCAATTTTAGTATATGTGCTGCTGAAGCGAGCACTTCATGTCAATTTTAAGCCAATACCTCTTCCTCTCCAGGTGTTCCCAGGGTCTGAGATCACTTTATCATATGCATACACCATGCATACACATCTGTACTCACTTATATCTATTATGTTTACACCTACCATGGGTGCACCTCTATGTGCAATGAGCAATGGCTTGGGTCCCAATGTATTCTTATCCTTAACACAAGGAGAATAATGTCCAATTGGCACAAAATAGAGACACAAAAGGATAATTACAAAGGGAACACCAACAGAAATTTGTATAGCTGTAAAAAAAAAGAAGAGGAAATTGAGAAAAAAAGAGACCAAAAAAAAAAAAAAACCAGAAAACGCTCACAAACAACTACCAGAAAGCTGCAAATGTAAATAAATACCCAATCCATGGATTTCATTCATTCTGCAGAGTGTCATATTTACTCTCTATTTCTGTTACATTACAATTATTTGTATGAATTTGAAGGTACAGGGCTACCTAGTGTAGCTTTACTATTAAGTCAAATTATTGGAACTATAAATTTACAAAGGAATAAATTGTATAGGAGTGAAAAGATAATGGGGTGATGCTACGGAAAACTTTCTTGGGAAGAAGAGTTGACCTGCTTCTCAAAAAGCCCTGAGAGTTGGGAAAAAAATCAACCCAAAATGCCAATATATTTAAGATCATGCAGGACAGTGAAAAGAACAGTACTTTTTGACAAAAGTTTGGGCTCAAAGTCATATTCTACCTAATAATGTATTTGATATGCTTTAGCTTAATTTCTTTAGGTTTTAATGTCCTTCCATAAAACAGAACTAGCCTACTGCTAAAATCTACCTCAAAGAGTTGTTATGTCAGTTTTTTCTCATAATAGCAGAGTGGGTAGGGTGTTTGCCTTGCACGCAGCCAACATGGCTGATCCAAGTTTGATTCCTCCACCCCTCTCGGAGAGTCTGGCAAGCTACCGAGAATATCTCGCCGCATGGCAGAGCCTGGCAAGCTACCCGTGGTGTATACGATATGCCAAACACAGTAACAACGAGTCTCAAAATGGAGACGTTAGTGGACCCGCTCGAGCAAATCGATGAGCAACGGGAGGACAGTGACAGTGACAGGTACTCACACGCATGCACACATATACACATATTTGCACACAGCCTATCCATAGTACATGTTATATTGGTTCAGAGTTTCCCAACACTTTACTAGACTTTTTTTTTTTTTTTGCTTTTTGCGTCACACTCGGCAATGCTCAGAGGTTACTCCTGACTCTGCATTCAGAATCACTCCTGGTGATGTTGGAGGACCATATGGGATGCTGGGAATCAAACCCGGATCAGCCACATGCAAGGCAAATGTACTACCCGCTATGCTATTGCTCCAGCCCCTTTCGTAGACTTTTGAATATTCTACTCATTCATTTTGTTAAAGGGGGCAACTATGTCTTAATCATTTTCAAATCTATATTTCCAGCTCTAACCTCTTAACTTTACGAGTGCATCACATTTCTTGTCTAGTTTTCTCTGCTCACGCAGCCTCTCTGCTCTTCTGGCTTTAACTAAAATTTAGGAAGTGAAAAAGAAAGTAGCTTATTATTGTTCCTTTTTAGCTCTTTCTCCAGGAACTTTTGCTAAATTTTCCCCTTCCCTTACACATACACATGTACACAAATACTACCAATTCAAGTTTTCACTAGCCTGCATCCTCCCAGAAACCAAAAATCAAACACTTCTTCTTGAACCAAGAGCAGCAAGAGAGATATGGAGAAAAGATGCTGAGAGAAGAGTCCATTCTCACAGTAATTCAGTGCATATATCTGGTTCTCCTCTGCTTCCATTTTACATCAAAATATGAAGGAGAAACTATGGCAGAGATAGTTCCCTTTTTTGATGAGAAAAGGTAGAGGTAGGGCATTGGGACACACCTGGCAGTTTTTTTTTTTCTTGGCTTACCCCTGGCTCTGTGCTCAGGGATTACTCTTGGCAGTGTTCAGGCAACCATATATAGTAACAGGGATTGAACCTCAATTGACTGCACGCAAGGCAAGTGCCTTAATCCCTGTACAATCTATCTGGCATCCTAGACACTTCTATATGCTGTCTCTAAGTGTGACAGACATTCATTGAAGAGCGTTTTGTGTTAATTTGGAAGTAACCAGGGATATATGGGTTAGCATAAAGTCATCAATTGAAACTGGAAATATCTGAATGCACCCCAAAAGAATGAACTGTGGCTGGTACCATCACGCTGATAAAACATACTTAAATGGCTCCGACATATATGAAAGCCAAGTCCCAGAAGTCAAGATATTACAACATAGAGAACACTTTCAGTTTTCTAGAACACTTCTCTAGAAGAAGGCCTGTTCAGTGAGATAAATACAATAATAGGCTAGGCAGAATTGTAATTTTGACATAAGAAATATGTCTGAGTGATAAATAGTGGTGGCACGGGTTTGAGATGCAACAAGATACAGAGGTCCTCTGATGGAGTGGAGTATGCAGACTACGTACTACAGAACTGAAAGGATCAAAATTGTATCCATTGACATACCTTCTCCTTCCAAGTAGAACAAATATGTGAACAGAAGCCAGGAGAGGAGAGTCATCAGAGGTATGCTGGTCAATTGTATGAAGGGACAAAAGACCTGGGAGAAAGTAAAAAACATCAGGTTGAACACTTTTAGGTAGAGTGTTAGACCCATGGGATGATGCTTACCTGCAGTGACAGCCCAACTGTCAGCCACCTGTCCTCCCAGTAAGTAAATAAAGCCCAAAACAAAAAGGTGTAAAATGCAACAAGGAGACAGAGCAGCACCTGTGAAAACAGAAATAAAAACCTTACATCCAGACACTAGACTTGCATCAAGCGCTAGGTTTGGATTAGAAATTTTCTTGGAAATTTATGAGTCTCCAAAATACCAGGGAACTCAATTCCTCATACAATTATCTAATCTCAATAGGTCTCATTCCCCTGACTCTTAAAGAGCCTCCAATCGTTGGGAAAAGACGAGTAAGAAGAGGCTGCTAAAATCTCAGGGCTGGTATGACTAGAGATGTTACTGGCACCTGCTCACATAATTCCAAGATCAGTGGGATGACAGTGATACAATGATTATCTGATCATTCTGCAAATGACCAATTTTGCACAGATGCTATAATTTACCTTCTTTGTTACAAAAGGTGAATTTGCAGTATTAATATGGCTGAAAAAAGGTACAGAGCTAGGGATAGGGAGAGAGTTCAAAGGGCTGGATCACATGTTTGACATGTATATTGTATGAGGTTCTAAGCTTGACATCACTGGGTCTGAGCACAAACTCCATCAGGCTCATAATGCAGGAGTAAAGTTGGGACTGATTGCTGAGAACTTCAGGGGAGGTTTTCCAAAAAAAGTGTGTGTGTGCATGTGTGCGTATCTGTGCATGTGTGTGTATGTGAGAGAGAGAAAGAATACCTTTGTTAAGATTATATCATAAGATTATTATATCTTCTCCACTCTCGCCAATACTTTCAATACTTTTAATCTCTCAGTTTAAAAAAAGAACATTCCAAATCTTCCCTACTTTCATGTATGACTCAATACAATTACAAGTAAATATTTTAATTGTCTCTTCAGTCTGATTCCTGTGGCTCTGATTTTTATGTATATGAATATATTATTCAGGAGCCCTTGAATTATGCTATAGCACCAAGGTCTAGTTGGCCTGGACTCTACCCAGGGTTCTCAGTTCCTGCTCTCTTGCTTCAGAAACAAGGTATTATAGCCAGTCCAACTGAACTAGGGAGTGGTTATGGACAGTGGTCTCTTTTTTTGGTGGAAAGAGATAGGGGTAGGGGGCTGGGACATACACCTGAAACAATTGCAGCTGTTCAGCAAGTTGATCTTTGCCACACCGGGAAGTATCTGTGCATTTGCTAGCTCCAGTTTGGAGACTGCTGTTCGGAATCACAGCCTCATGAGAGGGGTCGCCGCCTGAGTGTCTACAGGTTGTTGTACCTCAGGGATGGAAGCTTCCAGTCACTTTCTCAGGAATGGTTGTTTCCTGCTGTTGCCTAGGGACAACTGAACTCTCTCTGTGTTGTATACTGTTAGCTCCTATCTTTTTCTGACACAGTGGGTATAGGCCTCAAATTGACCTTTTAAGGATCTTTTGTACTAGGTGTTTCCAATTTATCTTAGAGTTTAAAGTTTGCTAGACTGAAAGAAGTTGGTCACTCTAGATATGAAGGTGGTGCTGTAAGGTGGTAACGTTTTATGCATGAAACCCTATCAGTAATAGGAATATAAACCACAGAGCCTAAAACGAAAAAAGTGCCTATCATAAGTGCCTTCTACAAGATCATTGTTGGTGATTTTAATGCCAAGATAGGACTGAGAAGATTAGCCGAAGAGCCCCACATCAGGACCCATGGCCTAGAATGGAATGAACAGGGTGAGAGACTGTCCAAGTTCATCATGTCAACCAAGACCATCCATGGTAACTCACAATTCCAGAAGGCCGAGTCTAAATGTTGGACATGGTAGTCTCCCGGTGGACGGTTCCAAAATGAAATTGACTACATCATATTCAATCAACAGTTTTGCCTTACTGATGTCGCTGTTGTCCCAAAATTCCAAACGAGATCAGACCACCATATCCTTCATGCAAAATTCTACTTCACAGAGCGGGGAGAAAGGGCTGCAAAGTTTAAGAAGAGAACTCCCAGAACGACCACCAACTGGGAGCTCTTTGGCACTATTGTAGAAACATGGGAAGATGCCCTCATTGACAACATTGATGAGGAATACTATCGACTGGTTCAGCACCTCCATGATTGTGGGGGGGAGAGAGATAGCCACAAAAAGATGCCTGTCTTCGAAAACTCTTGAGCTCATTCGCCAAGGTGGCTTGGCGCAAGCCTCAGGCAACCGCAAGCAAACATCTGAGCTCGCAAAGCAGTGCAGAGAAGCGATAAAGGAAGACCTCAAAAAGAAAAGAGTAGCAGTGCTGGCAGATGCGGCAGAAGCTAGGAAAAGCATTCGCAACACCCACCTGTCCTTTGCCAACTACAAGACCAAGATGACTGCCCTCTGACGTCCTGATGGATCTATCACATCTTCCAGAAGGGCAATGGAGAAGATTATCCATGACTTCAACTTGGATATCTTTGATAGCCAAGTCCACCTGCCCACATACCAAATTCTACAGGATGGATATGTCGTTCCCAAAATTCTCCCTTCCGAAATCCGACACACCATTTCGTTGGTAAAGAAGCAAACAGCACCTGGCTGAGACAAGGTCAGACCTGAACACCTGAAGAACCTGTCATCAGTACTCATCAATACACTGGCTCGGCTCTTTACAAGCTATCTGTTTGAATGCAAGGTTCCGTCGCAATGGAAAACCAGCAGGACTGTACTACTGTACAAGAAGGGAGACATCCACGACATTGGCAACTATAGCCCGATCTGCCTGCTGTCTGTCATCTACAAGCTGTTCACTGGAGTCATCCTGAATACGATTGGAAGAACACTAGATGAAAAACAATCATGCGAGCAAGCCAGGTTCTGAAAAGGATTCAGCACCATTGACCATATCCACATGATAACCAAGCTCATTGAGGTTTCTCGGGAGTTCAAGATGCTGCTCTAATGTTCATTGATTTAAAGAAGGCCTTTGATTCTGTTGAGATGGAAGCGGTCATCAAAGCCCTACCCAAACAGGGCATTCAAACTCAATACATCAGGATCCTCTATGAGCTGTATTACAGATTCACTACCAGGATCTCACCATTCTACAAGGAAATGATCATCCATGTCAAGAAAGGTGTATGTTAGGGTCATACCATTTCACTAAAACTCTTCAGTGCCACCCTCGAGAACGTCATGTGACAACTGGAATGGGAAGGAATGGGAGTGAAGATAGATGGTCAGCAACTAAACCACCTCTGCTTTACTGATGACACCGTTCTTGTAACACCAAACATCAGCCAAGCGGCACAAATGGTGGCCAACTTCGAGTGTGAGTGTAGAAAGGTCGGATTACAGCTGAATCTAACGAAGACAATGTTTATGACAAATGGTCTCGTTCCTGACGTTCCACTCACTTTCAATGGGATGAACATCTCCGAATGCAACAGTTATGTGTACCTAGGTCGAGAAGTGAACAGGACGAATGACCTGGCACCTGAGTTGCGCAGGAGGAAGAGAGCAGCTTGGAATACCTTCAAGAACATCGAAGAAATAGCTAAAAGGACAAAGAACCTCCGGCTCTGGACAAATCTCTTCAATTCCACTGTTCTTCCTGCATTAACATACACCTCAGATACCTGGGCCTTAAGAAAGCAGGATGAGAATGCTATTCAGGTCTCTCAAAGAGGAATCAAAAGAGCAATGCTTGGAGTATCAGGCTTCACTCAAATGAGAGAAAGAATCTGGAGTTCCGACCTTTGTCGACGGTCAAGAATCAGGGACACTGTCTCATTCGCCAAGGCATGGAAAATGAGATAGGCTGGACATGAAATGCGATTTGGAGACGACTGCTGGACTAGAGCCATTACCGACTGTATTCCACGGGGCGTCAAAAGATCGCATGGCCACCCACCTATGAGATGGTCAGACTTCTTCGTCAAGACCCTGAACGATCAGTTTGAGGCTCTTTGTATTCCTAGAATGAGCAGGTGCCATTGGGTTACATTAGCACGCGACAGGAATGAATGAAGACGTTACTGGTGCCCGCTTGAGCAAATCGATGAGTAATGGGATGTCAAGTGATCAAGTGATCATAAAAAAGATGTGGTTGGGCGTGGGTAGGATGGAAACTAGGAATATTGGTAGAGGAAAATTGACAGTGATGATGGGATTGTTGTTGGAACACTGTATGCCTTGAACTCAATCATGAATAGCTTTGTAAATCAGGAAGGAAGGAAGGAAGGAAGGAAGGAAGGAAGGAAGGAAGGAAGGAAGGAAGGATCTTGAATTAGAAGAACTGGGACTAATAAACACACACAGAATTCTCCAACCTCCAAAAGCCAGAGACATAGTCTTCTCCAGTGCAAATAGATTATTTTCCATGTAATAACACAATTGAGTGCCCATAAACTCAAAAATGGAACGACCCGCCTATCCTGCTGAAATACCATTAAATGCTAATGGAAGAATGAGAATAACAGAGACATAAGCAATAGCCTATTAGTATAAAGTAATTAATATGGTCGCCACTTAATCAGGAAGCCAAAATTTCACTGCCAGCACCCCCAAAGCTTTAGGAACAAGAGGGAAGCAAGAGAATTTTTAGCTATGCTAGCAGACAGGGACAGAAATCCAGGCAAGTCTTCAAGTTCATAAAAACTCTGGAGCCTGGATGAAAATGACCTTAAATCAACACTCAATGCAATGGCAATGGAAATTAAGCAATCAATAGGAGAGAAATGACGATGAAAAATTCATAAAATGGAGTTGAAGAAGCTTAAGAATACAATAACAAGTTGCAGCACCAGAATTCTGAATGCTGACAATAGTACATGCTGTGTGTGTGTGTTCAAAAGTGTTTGTGCACTCGCTGCCTGCGTTCGGTGGTCTGGAGTTGCTTCTCTCACCCCGGCTGGCTGCCATCAACAGCCAATCTCGGTCTTTCTGTTTATTCCATTCTCCCCCTGCCCCTATTCGAGTCTCACCGTGGGCCCCATTCTAGTTTTCCCCTGCCCCTCATTCTCACCTCCTACTGACTGTCCCTCACACTAGTCTCCCTCTGCACCTAGTCTCACAGCCTTAGTTAAGAGCCAATCCCCCAGAGTTAGGTGTAGCAAATACACACTGGTGAGATAGCACAGTCGACATATGTAAAGCCCTTCCTTCCAGAGAAGCTACTCTTTTTTGTTGATGAAGTTTCACTTAATCTTTTTATCTTTTTTTAAATTGAGTCACAGTGAGATACAGTTACAAAGCTTTCATGTTTGAGTTTCAGTCATACTATGATCGAATATCCATCCCTCCACCAGTGCACATTTTCCACCACCAATGTCCTCAGTATCACCCCCCCCCCCGCCCCCATCCCAACCCTGTCCCTACCTCTATGGTAGGCAATTTTCCCCATACTCTCTATCTACTTTGGGTCATCATGGGTTGCAATATAGATACTGAGAGGCTATCATGTTTGGTCCTTTATCTACTTTCAGCACACATCTCCTATGCTGAACGGTCCCTCCAACCATCACTGACTTAGTGATCCCATCTCTACTCCAGCTGCCTTCTCCCCCAACTCGTGAGGCAGGCTTCCAACCATGGAGCAATATTCCTGGCCCTGTCTCCACCGTCCTTGGGTGTCAATCTATGTTATTTTATATTCCACAAATGAGTATATTCATTCTGTGTCTATCCTCTCTTTCTGACTCATCTCACTTAGCATGATACTCTCCAGGTCCATCCACTTAAAAGCAAATTTCATGACTTCATCTCTCCTAACAGTCTTCATAGTATTCCACTGTATAGATGTACCAAAGTTTCTTTAACCAATCAATTCTCAGGCACTTGGGCTGTTTCCAGATTCTGGCAATTGTGATAAATGCTGCAATGAACATACAGGTGCAGATGTCATTTCTACAGACTTTTTTTGCAGCCTCAGGATATATTCCCAGAAGTGGTATTGTGGGGTCACATGGAAGCTCAATCTCTAGTTTTTTAAGGAGCGACAGCACAGCGGTAGGGCATTTGCCTTGCATGCAGTCAACATGGCCGACCCAAGTTCCATTCCTCCGCCCCTCTCGGAGAGCCCAGCAAGCTACCGAGAGTATCTCACCCGCCCGGCAAAACCTGGCAAGCTCCCCGTGATGTATTCGATATGCCAAACACAGTAACAACAAAGTCTCCGATGGAGACGTTACTGGGCCCGCTCGAGCAAATCGATGAACAACGGGAGGACAGTGACATTGTAAGTTGAATAGAATTGGAGGCATAATGTTAAGCAAAATAAATCAAAATGAGGACAAATATTGGATGATCTTGCTCATCTGTGGTATACAGAGAAACAGAATAAGAGAACAGACAGTACCAAATACTGACAAAGCCTTAGCCTTATATTACAAAACTGAGATAATGAAGCATTTGGTTGTGAGTGGGGCCTAGAGAGATCAAGAAAAAGATAAGAAGTAACAGTAAAACAGTCGTAGAGGGTGTTGAACACTTTGGTGGTTGTGAGGTACTATGTACATCAAAACAATATTAATTTATATTGTAACCATGTCACCTAAACTGTAATATTAATAAAAATTAAATAAAATAAAAAGCACCTGAGGTAGAGTCAAGACTGCATTTATGTACTATGGAAGGGACCAACCGCAGACATCCATGTTGCCCCTCTTGTAGACTATGTTCTTCCATCTTGTCCTTTTCTCCTTTTCTCCTATTTTTTTAAATTTGGAGTATTGCTATTTACTCAGCCATTGATTAGGCTGATTGAATTGGGCATGAACTTCACCTAACTTTTTTTCCCCCTTTTTATAAATATATTTATTGAATCACTGTGAGAGCATTTACAAAGCTTTCAGGTTTAAGTCTCAGTCATACAATGATGAAACACCTGTCCCATTTTCCACCACCAAAAATCCAACTATACCCCACATCCCACACCCTCCCCCTACCTGTGGGGCAAATGATTTCCACATTACTCTCTCTCTACTTTGATAACATTCAATATTTCGACACCAGACCCACCATTATTATTTGGGATTTTACCTCAACATTCAGATCTGCCGAAAAGGCAACCGTAGAAAATTTGTTTTCTATTGTTGATTATGAATAACATATGATGTCATGTGGCCGCAGTAGTGGCTGCACGATTTTGGAATTCCAAAATTTTAACAATTAAATCTGGAGGGATTTCTGCCAAAACCTGCTGGGTTCCGAGATTTGTTCCTGAGTCTCTGGGATCATGGCCATTAAGCAGCTTGATCAGGAGCCAGAAAGGCTGATTGTGGGCAGCAACTCAGGGTCTCGTTGGGGTGGGGAGGAAAGGGCCAGTTCTATCCCAATCCTGTGAGGCCCCATGTATCTCATCACTGCAGGCCCAAACCTGAATGTCCAATGGCCTCTGGAGGATGGCGGCCACTGAGCTGCCAAGATGGAGCAGGTGGAGGGACAGCACTCTTTCCCCCCTAGGGTGGCCTGGCACCAGTAACCTACTGAGGGACCAAATGCATTTCTGCCAAAAGCCGCTGAATTCCAAGATTTATTTCTGAGTCTCTGGGATCATGGCCATTAAGCAGTTTGATCAGGAACCAGAGAGGCCTTGCCTCCAATTATATAGCTGAGCCCGAAGTGGTGTGAGGGTGTGTCTCACACATACCTAACTTTTGGCCGTTTACTTTCTTGGTAAACTTGACCCCAAGTTGTTGGGGTCTGGCCAAAGGCACAGCAGCAACTTTGGGGTATCTAGAAGTCTGAAGGTGCCATCAGGCTGCTGATGCACTCACCTCACAATTACAGATTGACCTGCTGGCAGCACCATACCCCCCTTTCTCCTTTTCTGACGGAAGAGAGACCAGGGGGCTATGCTGTTCTTCCCACTACAATTTTCCAGACTTGGGTCAAGCCCAAATGGGGATTATGATAGTCTTATAAAGTTGGAGTTTGAGTTATTAAAAGGAACCTAAGTTTTTAATGACTGAAATGAGAATGTTCTTATGATTATAACAGTTTTGGAAAGAAATGAAGACTTCATTTGAATGGGAAAAGAGTCACAGAGTGAGTTAAAAAGTAGTAGTAGAAATGGAAGGCATCAAAATATTTCCACTGCTTCTACTGACTCTAGAATTGTAGAAACAAAAGGAAATATTGGTTGTATATTATAGAAATAAAAATATCAAAGGAGGTGAGAAATGGAGGGTACAGCAAGAAATGATCTGGAGGTAAGGGTCATGAGGTGGGGGCTTTGGTCTCATCTGTGGTGTGGATGCAAAATATCTGTATGTAGCTAAACCACTAGATGCAACACTACTGAAAGTGTGGCACCCAAATTACACAATAATTTAACTTAAAAATACATTTGTCAAGGAGTCAGTTTGGGGGATCAAGGAGAATCTGGAGTCACTGGTGGAGGGATAGGGTTACAGGTGGTGGGAATGGAGGTGGGAACATTGTATACCTGAAATTCTACTGTAAACAACTCTGTAAATCATGGTGTCTAAAATTAAAAAAAAAACTATTATACACACACACGTATATATGGGATTGTTATGGCTCTGTTTCCTCAGTAAATCATATGTATGAGAAATGCAAGGATTTCAGTCAGAACTATATAAATAAAACCTTCTATGTAAGGGGAACAAAGGAATAAAGGGCAACTCAGTACTTAACACTAAGTGGCAGTGACTCATCTAAGTCTCCTGTGAAAATGGAGATGTCCTACCTTATTACTCCAGTGCAGGAAGAGTTCAAAACCTTCCCATATGAACAAAAGTCCAAATATCTGGAAAACAAATAAATCAGAGGAGGTTATGCTGAAACCACCAAATTGCTGCCCAAAGCCTTGTTCAAAATTCAAAATTCTTTTCAGTTTGACTCACATTCATTTCTTGCTAAAAACTTGGTATTTTCCAGCCTTTGGGAACTTACTATTTATCAAGATGTTGTTCTGCCTGGAGAACTCTCCCTCCCATGCCACTGAAATTTAAAAGTCAGTCCAGGTATCACCTCCTATCTGTAACTTTCACTAACTACAAGTAGTGAGTTCACTAGTAATCTATACTCCAGGTAGTAAGTTACAATTACTTACCACTTACAATCATTTCCTTTGGGATTTCTTAACAATAACCAAACTGATATCCTTCCTGAATTCCTCCCACTTCTTCACACTGAAATTCCTGGTATGATGAAGACAAGACCCACTTGTGAAAAAAGAGCAGGACCAGGCCTTCAAAAGTCATTTAAATGTTCTTTTCAAAGGAACCAGTGGTACTAGCAATTGTTTTTTGTTTGATTAGGGGTCATACCCAGAGTTATTCAGGACTTATTCCTGGCTCTGTGCTCACTCCTGGTAGGTTTGAGAGACCATATGTGGTGAGCCCTGCCCCCCTGTACTATATCTCTGGTTCTGCTATTAACAATTGTTAACCACTGTTGTTAATAGCCTTAAATGTTAATTTGACTTGAATATAAATTGAGCCACTTTTCCAGTCAGTGTGGAGATAAACACTGAAAACTCGCCTATTCAAATGCTTAGAGTATTAATGAGAGCTTTAATGTATAAGACACATCTTATTTTAAAAATCAAAATGATTGTATAAATCTATATTTGTTTTTTACCCATCCCTATAGCACTGCACTGCACTGTCCTCCCATTGTTCATCAATTTGCTCGAGTGGGCCCAGCAACATCTCCATTGTCAGACTCGTTGTTACTGTGTTTGGCATATCGAATACTTCAGGGGTACCTTGCCAGGCTTTGCTGTGCGGGCGAAATACTCTCGGTAGCTTGCCGGGCTCTCCAAGAGAGGCAGAGGAATTGTGGAGGAATCGAACCTGGCTCGGCCGGCCGCACACAAGGCAAACGCCCTACCGCTGTGCTGTAGCTCCAGCCCAACCCATCCCTATAATACCATTTTTATTAAGTATTATTATGCTCAGTTGATTTTTTAAAACAAAATATTTGAATTTTTAGCAGAAGAAAAGATATAACAAATATACAAAGGCCATTGTCTATATTAAGAAAATTTAAAACTCTACATGCATTTTGTTGTAAAAGCATAGAAACAAAGGGAACCGCATGTATATCATTAACACTGTTATTCACATTTTAAAGCAAAGAAACTGGCCTTCAAATCATTACATGACTTAACCAAGGTTTAAAATAACCTCAAGAAGGGGTAAGATATAATACAACAGGGTGCTTGGATGCGGCCAACCCTCCCAATATGCACCACTTGGTCTCAGGAGTATCATCAAGCTGACACCTTGCTGTAATCCTTCTTGCTGATTCCTGAGCACCACCAAAGGGACCTGAGAAGTCCTCCATACTGCCAGATCCAAAAAGCACCATATCCTCAGAACCTAGAACTGACCCACTAGCCCTGTCACCAGAAGTGGCCCTCAGGGTCCCTGACCACTGCTTAGAACTCCCCACTCCCAAGAAATAAATAAAATAATGGAAAGACAGGCCAGAGATAGAACCCATATCTTCCCTGGTTCACTGTTTTTTTCATTGTATGTATCCAAAAAGAGGCTGAATGGTAGAGTGGTTTCTTTCCCTGTGTGAATCCTCGGGTCCATACCTCACACCACAAAGAAGAAGAGAGGTATAAAAGAGTAGAAAGTTTGTTAGATTATTGCTTTACTGTTCACTCAAATTCTCTAGAAGCTAAATGTATGTTTAGGTGCTTATTCAATATTACAGTGATATTATTCAGTGGTCAGTGTTTAGCACAGAGCACACACTTCACTGGCATTTTCCCTATTAAAAAGCAAAGTTTCTAACTGGGTCTCCACCTATTGTCACCCCCACACCACAACTTCCAAGATAATTTTTCTAAACTAGAAATCACATTTATGCTAAAAGTCTTAGCCTTACTTTCCAGGCTTTCCAAAAGAAAAAAAAAAAACTATTAAAAAGTCTATCTTCTTAGCCATGCTCCCAACTATTCTCCATTACACTTCATGCAAACCTAACAGGTCTTTCTTGGTGACAACCCATATTTTCTGTCTTGCCTACTTTATCATGATACCCCCCAAACTTTGAATGCTCACAAAGCAAGGGAACAGATAGTATCAAACAATGACAAATCCTTGATACAAAACTTGCTTCACCAAGCAGCGGGAAAAGTGGTGCGTAGAAATGAATGAGGGGACTGGCAGTAATATAGGGATAGTGATGAGGGACTTATTCGCTTTGGAGATGATGAGGTGCAGTAATATATATTTGATATATCAAATTATAAACATTAACGCTATTATAGTCATATTATCTAAACTCACGGTCACAGTCCTCCCGTTGTTCATCGATATTTGCTCAAGCAGGCCCAGTAACGTCTCCATCGTGAGACTTGTTACTGTGTTTGGCATATTGAATACGTCACGGGTAGCTTGCCAGGCTCTGCCGTGTGGGCGAGATACTCTCGGTACCTTGCCGGGCTCTCCGAGAGGGGCAGAGGAATAGAACTCGGGTCGGTCATATTGGCTGTGTGCAAGGCAAACACCCTACCACTGTGCTATCGCTCCAGCCCATTATCTAAACTATAATAATAAAACTTGTAATGCTTTTCTCACCCACATTAATGCTTTTAAACACAAAAAGACAGCAGCGATCTATCTCACCCGCTGCCCGCATTCGGTAGCATCAGGCCGTTTTCCCCACTCCAGGGAGGTTAATGGCGATGGGCAGGCAAAGGAAGGAAATGAGGGCCAGGCTGGTTGGTCTTAGTTGCAGTTTATTTCAATCCTCTCTCCATTCACTCCTGTCTCTCCTCTGCCTCCCCCTCCCCCAGCCCACTCTTACAGTCTTACACTCTTACAGTCTCATTATATCCCATAAAAGAAATTTATATCATGGAGGGCCCAGGTTCTCTCAGACCTGTCTCCCCCCTAGAGAGCCCTGAAATCTTCTTTTATTGATCAGGGTACCTCTAAAAGGACGCAATGCAGTGACATCATCAAAAGGAGTTACAGAAAGAACACTGAGGCAGCAAAACATACATTGTTTCTTTGCATCTGCAGGCCAGTTAATTTTGGCCTCCAGAAGCAAGAAACAAAACCAAAACTGAAACCTTTTTTGGGCTACAAGCACTTGGATTTGCATCCCAAAGATTAGTCTGTCTAGAGCCTGGAATCTACATCCCAAAGATCAGGCCTGGCTAGCACCTGAGATCTGCATGTCAAAGACCAGCCAGGTTTCTGTGAGAAATGGAAAACTGCCTCTTACAATATACTGAAATTATTTACTTAAGGCAGTTTGAAAGGGAAAAATGTTCAGCCTCATCCAAACTAGTCAGGACACACGAAATCTAGCCCATTTTCCTGGGTCCCTATGTTCCTGCCCATTATGTGCGGTGCAGTCTACATGGGCTCATCCTGACAGCTCAATCCAGTCCCAACAGGTTGGGGTAACAATTACACATAGGTGTGGTCACAATCAACAGGGGTAGAGTTCTTTCTCTCAGGGAAAGCCGCTTCTAGGACAGATTCTCATTTAGCAGATCGACTTGGTAGGCAGGTAGACAGGGAAGGCCCCCTCCCAAGGCAATAATAAAAGCCAGCCCTGCAGAAAATAGGAAAATGGAACTAAGGCTTAATAAGACCCTCACCTGGCTCCAGCAACAGACCCAAAGAAGCTCCTGCAGGAACAAAAGGCCAGGAAAGGAATTTCAAAGAAGACCATCACCTTTCCCAACCCCCCTGGTAACCTCCTTAGCAAAGGCCCATCTGGGGGCAGGTTGGAGAAATCCTATAAAGGTCACCTTGAACAAAGGAAGGGAGCACATATGCTGCCTAAGCCCATGTACTGCTTGCGCCCATGTGGCTGAGCACATGTGGGCTGAGCACATTGTGTCGCCTGCATCTCCCCTCTTGAGATGTGTACTTTCATGCTTTTGTGTCTAATGCTAGGATGTGTGTAGGGGCTCTCTCGAGTACATTACTCTCTCTCCCTCCACACCTAAAAATCCTCAAAATAAAATCTATTTATTTCACTGCTTCTCTACTCCTGAAATTCCTTTCTGCAAGGCGAGACAAGAAACCAGTAACTCTGGGTCCCAGGTGGCAGAGGCGGTTGGGGAGAAAGTGACGGTCTTTCTTCTCCCCGCTTCACATAAGTCACCTATGGGGCCCACCGACATCAGACTCACCCTGGAACGGAATTCCTTGAGTGTGTTTCTCCTCAACTTGTCCAACAAACATATAAGCATACATAATATAAATCATTTTTTATGGACACAGTAAGAAATACTTTAAGCTTATAGAATTGCCCTCCTAGGGCCATCTTAATCTCAGACTACAGTGCTTAGGCCAGATAGTCTTTCCTATCCCTAGCAGTAAGTCTCGTCGTTACTTTTGGATCATGACAGCATTTGTCTATGATCAAACTCTTAACTTATAGTTAAGAATTATGGCACTTTGGGGGCTGGAGAGATAGCACAGCGGGTAGGGCATTTGCCTTGCATGCGGCTGACCCGAGTTTGATTCCGAGCATCCCATATGGTTCCCTGAGCCCTGCCAGGAGTAACTCCCGAGTGCAGAGCCAGGAATAACCCCTGTGTATCACCGGATGTGACCACCCCCCCAAAAAAAAATAATCATTGTACTTTGGCCTGGCGCAACTTGATGCCAGGGTAGCACATAGCTTAACGCTTGCCCTGGTTCCATCCAGTCCCTCATCAGGACCCTGCTTTGGGGGGTACTAGGAAGTGAGCACAACTTGAAGCTTTAGTTGAGAAAGCAGATGCCCGGGAGTGAATAATATTCAAAGTCAATTAAATCCTAAATTACAAAGCATAATATTAACAGTCTTCCTGTATCTATACATAAAAGACATTGCATTAAAGTAAACTATTCAAAAGACATAAGGAGAGGAGAAAGGCAGTATTAACTTATAATACAAGTTCAGTGTCCTAGAAGGATCTGACCTTACAAATGAACAGATTCTGATTAGGGGAAAAGCTGATTAACTGCTTGGGGAGGAGAGCATAGAGAAGTGGTTACAGATAAACAAAGGAATGGAAGTGACTCGGTAGCACTGTGATGGATATGACCTGATAAACCTAAGCTCCTTGTGGCAAGGGAGAAAGGACAAATCAATTGTTATCCTGATGTAGGCAGGTAGATAGGGAAAGGCTCTCTGCAATGAAACAAAGTCTCATAGAAGAATTCTAGGACCAACCCACCCTGTGGAGACAGAGAATAAGGACTTGATAAGACCATCCCCAGACCCTGAAGATATGGGCCTCCTCCCCATGAAATTCCTCCTTTCCGAGAACCCCCTTTCAATCCGGTTGACTCCAGCGACCCAGTCCCAAGGAGATTCCAGGACATTCCAAGTCAGATGATTCTCGAACCCCTTTTCAATCCGGTTAACTCCAGCGACCCAGCCCCAAGGAGATTCCAGGACATTCCAAGTCAGATGATTCTCGAACCCCCTCTCAATCCAGTTGACTCCAGCGACCAAGCCCCAAGGAGATTCCAGAACCTTCTGAGTCAGAAGGATCTATAAGAACCAGCTCGAGAGCCCACTTGGCGCTCTCTCCACCCTCGGAGAAGCCCGCGTTCCCTCTGGACGCGTTACTCTCTCTCTCTTACTCTCCATTCCCCCGCTTATCTGCTTATCCCTTTCTCTCCCTCTCCAAAAGCCTCCAAATAAAACCTGTTACTTCACTGCTCGTCTACTCCTGAAATTCTTTTCTGCGAGCGAGACAAGAACCCCAGAAACCTCGGGTAAGGCTTGGGACTGGTCTCTCCTTTCCTGCAAAGAGCAAATTCTCGCCCCAGCTTGAGTCCGTGGCTCCCCGAGCAATCGGGTGGCGGGGATTAACTCCCGTGCCGAGAAGATCAAGCGGACTTCAGGTGTGGCTTGACGGCCACCTTGTGGGGCTGGCGGGACTCAGGCCCATGCCGAGCAGGTGCTCGCTGCAGACTTTACTGGTCCTAGCTACCCAGGGTTCCGGGTGGCAGAGGAGGGTGGGGAGAAAGTGGCCGTCTTTCTCCTCCCCACTTCACATAAGTCACCCGTGGGGCCCACCGACATCAATCCTACACACATATATACATATATATTCAAATCCAACATCCCTATACATCTCACTCTAGTACTACCTTGTCCAAGAAGCCTTAGTTAATCCTCTTGGGTACAAATCCCTATTCCTTCTTAGAACTTACAAAATTTTTCTTGGGGGTTCTTTAATGGCAATTACTGTGAAGAACGAGGCCCTGAACCAGATGAACACTGACCAACTTACAGGAACTAACCTGTTTTTCTTAGATTAAGAACTTGTTTTTCTTTCTTAGATCTTAACTTGTTTTTCTCGGATCCTTTTTACCCAAACCCCATGCTTTTAAAATGACCTGTTTTTCTCCTTGGTGCCTGGCACCTAGATGCAGGTGCCTCATGTGACTGATAACACAGGATACGGTGGTTAAGGAAGACTACCCAAGGCTTAACGTTCCCAACATGTTTCGGCTTGCTTAATAGTGATGTACCGTGGCGGGCTTTGTGTGTTACATACAAATTCGTTGGCTATGCACTGCGCGGGCTTTGTGTGTTACAAATTCATTGGTTATGTACTGCACCCTAACGGCCGGTAAGGTCCTATATAAGATCTTCCTTAAAGAGGCTCGGGGTCTTGCTCAAAATCCTGGCCTTGCGAGACCTAGGTGGAGCTTGACCCTAGCCCAGCTAGAACAATAAGCCTCTAAACCTCGTTTGCCTATTGCATTCTCTGAATAGTTTCTTTACGCCGTATGTGGAGATCAAGAACCGTGCCCTAACAATTACAATGCTCAGACTTCATTACTTTGTTCATGATTTAGTTGCCTTGTAGATTTAAATTTCATTGGGTTAATGAACTATTATAATTATAAATCTCAGATCTCTCTATACAATATACCCTGTGTGAAAATAGAAAGACTTATCACTCATATTATAATGAGATGTTTTAAGTGGGAAAAAAAAACACTTCATGTGTTGATTTTGGGCTCTTCTTTATCAGACATAAAAGTCAGTGGAGTCAAGGAATCTAGAAACCAGAGAAAATATATATGTCCTGTATGTAAGTGAGCACCAGAAACTGAAGTTGCCTAAAAGTTCTCTCTTATATAAGCTCACCACTTCTTTAGACCTTTCTCTTACCTAGCCTTAATTTCCATTGCTAAGTTAAGCAACAGAGGCAGAGTTACTATTGACAGAACACTTGCCAAGATGAACTGTGTACCTGGGCCGGGAACTAGCATTTGTACATTAGCAAGGTTTAACGGAGCATTTGTAAGGCCCAGAAGGAACGATTCTCTGCAGAAGAGGTAAAATGAGGTAGGATGTTTCAATGTGTAAAGGTGTTGCAATGTGAGGCTGGTGGGTGTCTAAAATGACAGTACTGAGTAAACCATAGAATACACTATGAAACAGGATAGTAAAAGGATATCTGCCACTATGTCAGTCAAATGTAGTAGGACACATCGTGTAATAACAGAAGCATTTTTTGTTTGTTTCATGTCTCTTATGTCCAAAATTCAAGTAGTATAAAGTTAAAGCTCAATTGGTACAAACTCCAATTTGGCTAAGAGAAGACTGATTTTAAGTTCTGATGTCTCCCAGTTCTGACTGTGAACCGTATCTCACGAGGCTACTCATAAAGTATGAAAACATTACTCACCAACAGCAATGAAGTGTAGGCAAACATGATCCCATATAAACTCAGGAAAAATATAGACCAGTAGAACCAGAATCCTGTACCTAGAAACACGACCCTGAAAAATATTTCAGTTTTTAAAATATAGCAGAAATCAGGAACAACTATGTCAAGAATGGAGACAAAACCTAGACTAGCTGAGAGCTAAGAAAAAAGAATAAAATTAGAAGAGAAGCATATGAGAACAGATCTGTGAAGAATTTTAGGGAAATTTAGTTGAGTTTCAACTTTATCCTTTAAGCAACTGGGTAGTTTAATGGGGAATAGTATAAATGGAATGATTTCATTTTTCTGGGGATCATACCTAGTAGTTGTCATAGTGCCATATAGTGGTATGATTTTTTAAAAAGTTATTTAGAATATATATTCAAAAGTTATATCATCTTCATGAAACAATATAGCACTGTCCACTATCTTCCTGTTGCTTATCAATTTGCTTCAGCGGGCCAAGCAAATGTCTCCATTGTGAGACCTGTTGTTACTGTTTTTGGCATATCTGATACATCATGGGGAGCTTGTCAGGCTTTGCCATGCGGGCGGGATACTCTCAGTAGCTTGCGGGGCTCTCTGAGAGGGATGGAGGAATCGAACCCAGGTTGGCCACGTGCAAGGCAAACACTCTACCCACTGTGCTATCACTCCAGCCTAAAACAATATAATTCCAAGAGGAAAGAAGTAAGTTTTCTACTCTAATAAAAAAGAATACTTCCCATTTGGGTAAATTGTTTGTCCAAGTGCATACATATTCTTTTTACATAATTGCAATCACAGCCACCATCTTAATTGATTATAAATTAGAGAGCTGGGCAGTAAAAACAGTCATTAAAAATAGTCATTAAAACAGTCTTCGCATGTGTTCTGTTTTTAGTTTCTGAAAGAAAACTATTAATTTACTGAGAATGTGTTGTTCTTGATCGTGCTTTTATATATCAAATTCAGACTTATTATTTCAAGATAACATAAATTACTTCCACTTCATGTAAATCGAGAGATATTATAGTTTCATAATATAACGTATACTAGGATAGGAATGTAGCTCGTTGGCAGAAATTCTGTGTGTGAGACCCTGGATCTGAATCCCAGCACCCCCCAAAAAAATTGTTCAGGGACCAAAAAGATCATACAGAGTTAAAGCACGTACCTCGCACATGACCAGCCCATTTGATCTCCAGCCCCACCAGGAGCAACTCCTGAGCACAGAATCAGAAGTAAGGCCTGAGCACCACTGGGTGTGGCCAACTTCTCTTTTCCCCCCTAATATTCAAACAGCTTTTATATACGTGAACTACTTAATATATACCTACATTAAAACTAAGAAAGCATATTCTCTGTGCTCGGGGCTAGAAGACACACCAAGAAGAAAATAAACAGGCAAGCAATTATCCAAATGCAGGAGCTATACCAGATATTGGGACACTGTGAAGAGTGTAGTGACAAAAATGAGCTCATGAACAGGAATCACAGAATATGTAAGGAATGTCAGAAAATGAACCAAACAATGCTATAAATCCATGCTTCATTTTACAACAGTGCCAAGCTTTGAATAATTTCCCTTTAGTGATTTCATCATAGTGCAAATGTTAGAGCATAATCATACAAACCTACCTGGTCTAGCCTACTAGTTACCTAGATATCTGGTAGAGCCCAGAAGGTTCCACATTTATTTGGACTACTGCCTCCTTTTCAGATAAACTTTACTTCATGATTCCCTAGAAATATATTTTCTTTAAACTAACAAAAATTCAGTGGAAAATTTAAATAAAGTTTTACATGAGGTTACTTGAAACTTGGAATTATAAAATTATTAAAACAGTAACATTTTCATTACACATAAATTAAGCTAATTAAAATACTAAAGCAAAAATTATGAGCAATATTACAAATAATCCACATGACAAGGATAAACGTGGTGTATTGCTAGCACAGTAACATTCACATCTATTTCTTTCAACAGCATTCTTAAATCAATGTGATTAGTTACAGTCATTTATCTTTCTATAAACGGGTATGTGACTATCATCAACTCACATTTCACAACATATGGTGAAGAAAATGCATTTTAAAACTTTTGTATGATAAAAAACCATAATGCAAGATAAAGTGTAACTATCTTCTACATCCAGAACTATGGGTAGCTGTTTTTAAATTTAAATTTCAAATCCTTACTTGTCACTACCTCCATCAGTTCTTCTTAAAATTTTGGAAATTCTTGTGTTTGTACTTGAAAATGGGCCCCAAACCCAATCTGATTTTAAGAATATTTTCAAATCACTGATTAAGTCAGAAAGGAAAGTCTCCATGTGTTGACAACAAAGGATACACAAACCTTCACTGTATTTTTCTTTTGCTGATAAAATTTGAAAATTGGCTGAACTTCCTCATCCTAAATTTCATTTTTCATGAAAGTTCTACCACAAATGCATAAGCTTTTGTTTTGATAAAATTCAACTTATTGCCTCGGAGAAGTAGATTTGTTTCACAAACTTTTAAAATTTATCTGTCATGCAACTCCATTTGGGAATTAATCAAGGTGGCTGGTTGTATAATCTCCAGGGCGGCTAGGGAGAGCCCCAGAAGCCCTCCCTCTCCCCTCCCACATTCAGTGGTCTCAGGCCGCTTTCCCGCTCAGGACAATTGATGCCATGGGCGGATAAAGGAGGAAACGAGCGACAAGCCAGTTGATTGATCAGTTGCTGTTATTCCATTCTCCCCGTGCGCCTGTTCCTGTCTCACTAAGCTCCCCATTCTAGTCTCACAATGCCCCTCATTCCGGCCTCCTGTCTCTCCCACTCATCCCTCCATGTTCCATCTTGCAGCCTGGGCTCTCTCTCTCCACATGCCTGCTCCTGTATTCTTCGTCTACATTCTTCTCCCTCTGGCCCCCTTGCTAGTCTCTCTGTGCTCCATCTTCTGCCCTGCTCTCTCTCATCGCTCTCCAACGCTCTCATCTCTCTCCAACTCCAGCATTGGGGGTAGACACCATACCCAGTCCAGTAGCAAAATCAACATATAAAAGCCCTTCCTTTTCTAATGGGCAAAATACCATTTAGAGGTGTTTTTCTCCTTTCCTCAGTCCAATAACTTAAGTAACATCTTAATTCTATTTCCTAATATTAGTTATTTTGGGCTGGAGCGATAGCACAGTGGTAGGGCATTTGCCTTGCACGCAGCCAACATGGCCAACCCGAGTTCGATTCCTCTGCCCCTCTTGGAGAGCCTGGCAAGCTACCAAGAGTATCTCGCCCACACGGCAGAGCCTGGCAAGCTACCCGTGATGTATTCGATATGCCAAACACAGTAACAATAAAGTCTCCAATGGAGATGTTACTGGGCCCACTCGAGCAAATCGATGAACAACGGGAGGATAGTGACAGTGACAGCGACAGTTATTTTGTATGGACACAGTAAGAGATAAACTGAGCTTGTAGGGTGACTCTCCTGGGAACATCTCACCATAGACTCAGACTACAGTGCTCAGGCCAGATTAATCATTCCTAATCCTAGCAGGGTTCTACTCTACTTATTACTTTTTGGATCACGACAGAATTTGTCCATGACCATCCTCTTAACTTAAGGAGAAGAGAAAAACAATACTTATAAGTCAACAGAACACAAAGAAAGAGGTAAAGGTAAAGGCCCTCCCATTGATCGTCGATTTGCTCGAGCGGGCCCAGTAACGTCTCCTTTGGAGACTTTGTTGTTACTGTGTCTGGCATATCCAATACTCTCGGTAGCTTGCCGGGCTCTCCGAGAGGGGTGGAGGAATTGAACTCGGGTCGGCCATGTTGGCCGCTTGCAAGGCAAACGCCCTACCCGCTAGAAATAAATACAGAGGAATGGGAGCACTGTGATGGGAGCAACCCAATAAACCCAAGCTCTCTGCGGCAAGGCAGAAAGGACAAACCAATGTGATCCTACAGCTGGTAAATCATTACCTTTGTTTACCAGGAACTTTAGCACTGAGTAAAATAGATTATAAAATATATCTAAATAGGCACATTTGGAAAATTAAATTAAATTAAAAATAAAATTTAAATAAAAACAGGCAAATATACTGACTTCAAATTTTACCACTTCCCAGAACTTTATAGCTGCCAGCAAGTGGTAAATTTTGTCCAGTTTTCAATACATTTAGTTGAAACTCACATTTAATAAACTGTTTCTGATTTTACTTATTGCTTTAAGCTAAGTGTTCATATTTTTGGTAACTAAATGATGATGAGTGATAGAGTGGACAAAAATATATCTGGAGTCAGGTCTTTTTAATATTTAAAAAACAGTTACCATGATTCAATCTATATTATCTTTAACAGGTTATGATTTCATTATCCTGCTTTCATTGGTGAAGGAATGGGTATAGGAATACTGTATGACTGAAACCCAATCACGAACAGCTTTGTAAGAATCTCATGGTGATTCAATAAAAAATTAATTTAAATTAAAATAAAAAACAGGCAAATATACTGACTTCAACTGGAATTTTACCAACACAGCCTGTCTGTCATGATTTAGTTTGTTTGTGCCATACCTGGTGATACTAAGGGCTTACTTCTGGCTCTGCACTCAAGGATCACTACTGGTGGACTTAGGGAACCAAATGCAGGACTGGGGATCAAACCTGGGCAGTTGTGTGCAAGGTAAGCACCCTATCTGCTGTACTAATGCTCTGGCCTAAGCCCAGGCCTGTTACAATTTTATCAGTCGTAAGCTCTAAAAAAACACAAAAACATAGATATACAAGAAAATATATATCAATACCCGTGAGAAAATTGCTATTGTTTTGGAAAAATAATATAATTTGCCTTGTATGTGATCTATAAACTATAATTCATAAAGATCAAATCATATATGAATTAAATTTTGGAGGGGTTCTCAGGTAGTCTCAGGAAGTTCCTGGAGACTTCAGTGATCTGTGTCAGAGATTCAATGCATGAGCTCAAGGATGCTGCACTCACCTGGACCTGCTGTCTTGGGTTACATGAGCTACCCAAAGGTGTGTGTGTTGCGGGGGGGGGGGGGGGGGAAGCATCCAGAACTACACCTAGCAGTAATGGGGGTATACAGTGCAGGAAACAGACTTGGTCAGCTGTATGCTAAACACAAATCTTAACCCCTATACTACCTCGACAGTCCCAGCTAAGATTTTTTAGTACTTCAGTACTAGAGCTGGGGGAAATGGAGTATGGGAACACTGGTAGAGGGAAGTTGATGCTGGTGAGGACAATGGTGTTGAAATATTATATGTCTAAAACTCAATCTTGTAATAACCTTGTAAATCATCGTTCTTTAATTAAATAAAAATTACTAAAAGAATAAAGACATAGATTTAAAAAAATTACTATTGCCCAGTCTTTAAAAGCTACCCATTCCATTAACTTTGCTCTCTACATTCAATTTATATTGTATTTCAAATCATTGATCTAAATACCAAGCAATGATGGTTTACTTAAATAATGTTATTGTACAAAAAGTCATAATGAAAAATGATAAAGGCATATCTCATGTTTAGAAAATGGACTGTGGTAAAGGGTTATCAGCACTTTGGTTGTGGGTGTGGTGTGGTAAAACTGTACCCCTAAAATATAGGAACATTTACTCTTTTAATAGTATTTTACCTCAATAAATTAATAATTAAAATATAAAAATTGATCAGTGATTAAATCAGAAAACTCCATCCATAAAATGACAAAAATTATTCAGTATTACAATAGTTAAGTGTTTCCCATAGTAGGCTCAAAGAGAAACTCTCATATACTTCAGTTTTAAATAGAAATTGCTACTGCCTTTTGATAAAGTATTTGGGCAACAGACAAAGTGAGTTTTACCAGTGATTATCTTCTTTGAATCAATGCCATTTGTAGAAGTCTATTGTAACACAAGTCAAAATACAAAAATTGCTCTACACTCTAATGTATTATTGTGATTCTGGGAATCAACACCAAAGTCTCACACATGCAAGGCAGATGCTCTACCACTGAGCCACATCCCCAGCTCATGCATCCTTAACTTATAAAAATTATTTTGTTTAAAAAAATGATGATCGGCATTGAAATATTGCATGCCTACAACTCAACTATCAATAACTTTGTAAATCACAGTTCTTTAATAAAGGGGAAAAAGAGAAAAATGGAAATAGTCATGATGCCTAACAATAAAAAAAAGGTAAAGTATATTATGACGTCTTCGTGTTATATTTAAATTTTTGTATTGAATCACTGTGAATTACAAAGTTACAAAATTATTCATGATTACATTTCAGGTGTGCAATGTTCCAACATCAATCCTTTCACCAGTGTTCACTTCCTTACACCAGATACCCCAGTTTTCCTTTTACCCCCAGCCACCTCTATGACAAGCACTTTTATCTTTTTCTTTTCCCTTTTAGACACAGTGGTTTACATGGTTACTGATCATACGTATCATTTACCCACTTTCAGCACCCAGACCCTATCGAGACTGACTACATGACTCTATCTTTGTCGTAATGGTTCTTCCCTGACTTATCCCCCCTCCCCACAGTGGCAAGCTTCCTACTGAAAACGACTTCTGTTCTTCATTTCTCTTGCCATCATGCATTAGTTATTCCCCTTCTATGGGAGGCTCCACTATCTCCACTACTCAACCTCCATCACGCTCCAGGACACTTTCCAGACGCTCAGGCTGAGACTCACGCACGAGTGAAGCCCCACAGGTATGCAGAACTCTGCGACCTTGGACTCCAGGCTTAACAGGACCCAGGAACAGAGATCCTCTGCCTGCTCCTACCAATCTCCAAGACCCAGAGATTAAATCCAGAAGCCACACCCTACCCTGCCCTGTCTGCTTCCAACAATCTCCGGTGACCCAGGGATTACACACAGAAGACCCACCCTACTGGTACCAGATAAATACCTCATTGGCAGACCTCCACTACCTCCACTACCTCCACTACCCAGCTGCCGCCATGCTCCAGGACACTTTCCAGATGCTCGGGCCGAGACTCATGCATGAGTGAAGCCTCACAGTACCAGGTAAATGGAACTCTGTGACCATCATAAGACACTTAATGCCCATCTTCCAAGATTACCGCACCATATTTGATGGGGTTCAAATATGGTTTAAATCATGGGAATACCTGCAAGGGCGATTAGAGGCAGCCCTAAAAGCCTCTATCCCTCTCGGAGAGCCTGGCAAGCTACCAACAGTATCCCACCCGCACGGCAGAGCCTGGCAAGCTATCTGTGGTGTATTCGATATGCCAAAACCAGTAAATACAATGGGTCTCATTCCCCTGACCCTGAAAGAGCCACCAATACAGCAGCATTAAGAAGGATGAGGAGGAGAGGCTGATAAAATCTCAAGGCCAAACTAGGCTGCAAAACAAAGAAGGACAAAAATGACTGTACTTTCAATGCACTTATGCTGGTATCATATGCATCCATTGAGGACCTGACGGTACAAGCACGAAAGATCAAGTACATCATTGGTCTGACCGAGACGTGAAGGCATCAATCACATCACATGGTTTTCGACACTGGAGAAGAACTGTTCCTCGAAACATGGGACAAAAGAGGCGTCGGTGGTGTCGGTGTCCTTGTCAACATGAACTTGGCCATGAGCATTGATTCATTCAAATGCCTAACAACCCAATGGGACAATTAGACTTGAATACATGTGGCTCACAGCCAGCAGTTTCTATCTTGGTTGTCTACGCACCAACATCCAATTATGATGAAGGAGAAATTGAGAAGTTCTACATGGAGCTAGAGGTTTATAGCTGAAGACCACACCTTCTACAAGATCATTGTCGGTGATCTTAATGCCAAGACAGGACCGAGAAGATCAGCTGAAGAACTCCACATTGGGACTCATGGCCTAGAATGGAATGAACAGGGTGAGAGACTATCTGAGTTCATCATGTCCACCAGGACCATCCATGGTAACTCACAGGTACAGAAGGCCACGAATCTAAACGTTGGACACGGGAGTCTCCCGGTGGATGGTTCCACATCATATTCAATTGACGTTTTGGCCGGACTGATGTCACTGTTGTCCCAAATTCCAAACGGGATCGGACCACCATCTCCTTCATGCAAAATTCTACTTCACAGATCAGGGAGAAAGGGCTGCAAAGTTTAAGAAGAGAACCCCCAGAACGACCACCAGCTAGGAGCTCTTTGGCACTATTGCCGCAACATGGGAAGATGCCTTCATTGACAACATTTACGAAGAATATGATCAACTGGTTCAGCACCTCCATAATTGTGCGAGTAACACCAAGAGAGAAAGAGACACAAAAAGATGCCTGTCTTCGAAAACACTCTCGAGCTCATTTGCAAATGTGGCTTGGTGCAAGCCTCAGGCAACCGCAAGCGAACACCCAAGCTCACAACGCAGTACAGAAAAGCAATAAAGGAAGACCTCAAAGAGAGAAGAGCAGGAGTGCTGGCAGATGCGGCAGAAGCTGGGAAAAGCATTTGCAACGCCCGCCTATCTTTCGCCAACTACAAGATCAAGATGACTGCCCTCCGACATCCTGATAGATCTATCACATTTTCCAGAAGGGCACTTCTGGGAATATATGCCAGAGATGCAAAAAAGTACAGTAGAAATAATGTCTGCACTTGTATGTTCATTGCAGCACTGTTTACAATAGCCAGAATCTGGCAAAAACCCGAGTGCCTGGGAACAGATGACTGGTTAAAGAAACTTTGGTACATCTACACAATGGAATACTATACAGCTGTTAGAAAAGATGAAGTCATGAAATTTGCATATAAGTGGATCAACATGGAGAGTATCATGCTAAGTGAAATGAATCAGAAAGAGAGGGACAGACATAGAAGGATTACACTCATTTGTGGAATATAGAGTAACAGAATGGGAGACTAACACCCAAAGATAGTAGAGATAAGGACTAGGAGGATTGCTCCATGGCATGAAAGCTGGCCTCACATGCTGGGAAAAAAGCAGCTCAGATAGACAAGGGACCACCTAGTAAAGGATGCTTGGAGGGCCCACTAAGGATGGGAGATGTGTGCTGAAAATAAACTATAGACTGAACATGATGGCCACTAATACCTGTATTGCAAACCACAACACTCAAAAGGAGAGAGAGAGTAAAAGGGTGAAAGGGAATGTGAGACAGAGGCGAGAGGGGTGGGGGATGGGGGTGGGGGTGGTGGGAGAGATACTGGGAATATTGGTGGTGAGTGGGCACTGGTGGAGGGATGGGTGCTCGATCATTGTATGACTAAAACATAAGCATGGAAGTTTGTAAGTATGTAACTGTACCTCACGGTGATTCATTAATTAAAAAAAAAACCTCACATTTATGTTGCATGGCCACTACCACTGAGCAACATCGCTAAACCTACATTTTATTTTATTTATTTTTTTTACAATCTGTCAACCTTTATTGATGTGTCATCACCATCCAAAGTTTACATTAGGGTTAATTATTAATATTGTACATGTTAAGTATTTTTTTTCATTTTTATTAGTGAGACACCATGAGGTACAGTTGTAGATTTACAAATTTTTGTGCTTGGGTTTCAATTATACAATGATCAAATACTCATCCCTCCACCAGTGCCCATTTCCCACCACCACGGATCCCAGTATCCCTCCTACCCCCATCCCCCCATCTCACCCTGCCTCTGTGAGAACGTTTTGTTCTCTCTCTCCTTTTGGGTGTTGTGATTTGCAAAAGAGGCAATGAGTGGCAATCATGTTTGGTCTATAGTCTACTTTCAGCATGCTTCTCCCATCCTGGGAGGATCCTCCCAACACCCTTTATTTGTCTAAACCTACATTTTAGAAACACACAGAAAGAACCCGTTAGTCAGATTGTGTTTCAATGTGAGAGTGAGAACCTGTAAATAGTAAATGGAACAAGCAAAATTACTGAGCATTACTACCCCACTCCAACATCAAAACTTTCACTCACCCTCAATGGAAAGCTCAATTTTGTCCACCCTCCCTCCTCTGGCAAGATAATCCTTTCAACCTAGGTAATTTTCAGATCAAAGAGCCTAAAATTACAAAAACTGGAACTCACCAGTCAAAGCCAAAGTATTCATTTGAGGATTCTATCCACATGTACAGAACAATCAGAGACACAATCCATGCAAAAGCCAAAAGTAGGTAAAACAATCGCTCTGTCTGAGGAGAGAAAAAAGTGAAAATTAGCTCCATTTATCTCAGTAGCATTTGAGGCCCATATAAATGCAATGCCATGCATCATTCTCTACAGGTGAGAATTAGGTACATGCCTCTTTATAGCATTCATTACCCTGAACTGCAACTGTTTATTTACAATATATATCTGATGTAATATTTAAGGAAAAGGACCATCTCTCACACATCTCTGTATGGTCAAGATCAAGCATAGTTCTTTGAATGCAGCTGGCTTTTTCAAATTTTTATTTGTTTTGTGTAGGATAACATTGGTTTGTCCTTTCTCCCTTACCACAGGGAGCTTAGGTTTATAGGGTTACACCCATCACAGTGCTCCAGAATCACTTTCATTCCCCTATGTTTTTCTATAAACTCTTCTCTGTGTTCTCCTCCCCAACCAGTTAATCACCTTTTTCCCTAATCAGATTCCATTATCTTGTAAGATCAGATCCTTCTAAGGATGCTGAACTTGTATTATAAGTTAAATACTGCTTTTCCCATCTTTTGCATAGTTTACTTTAAAGCAATGTCCTTTTTGTATGGACACAGGAAGACAGTTAATATTAAGCTTTTGTAACTTGGGAGTTAACTGAATATGAATAATATTCACTCCTAGACATCTGCTTTCTCGACTTACGCCTCAGTCGCCCTTAGTTACCTAGCACCCCAAAAGCAGGGTCCCAACAAGGGACTGAATGGACCCAGGGCAAGCTGTGAGCTATCCTGGCATTGAAATGGGCCAGGCCAAGCGCCATAATACTTAACTATAAGTTAAGGGTATGGTCACAGATAAATGCTGTCATGATCCAAAGGTAACAGGATTAGGACTGTGCTGGGGTTAGGAAGACTAACCTGGCCTGAGGATTGCAGTCTCGAATATATAGTGAGATGTCCTCAGGAAGAACCAAACTTTAAGCTTGACATATCTCTTACTGTGCTCATACAGAATGACATTGCTAGAAATATTAGAAGCAGATTTACTACAACTATTTAAGTGGATTACTAAATGAGAAACAAAAAAGCGACACAGATCCTTAAGCAGATCTCCTAGTAACCTGGAGTAATTTCCTTGGATGAGATTTTGTCCTTGAGTTAATCTCCTGGAAGAGTGGCCTTACCTCTCTTTGTTGATTCGTTAATGTTCAACCCACCTTTGTATCCCCATCCTACATGATTTCTATATAAACTAGGCTGTAAGAGTGGCTGGGATCCGGAAGCAGAATGAGGGCAAGCAAGAAGGAGAATGAAGGGAGCTCCAGAGAGAGAAGCAGAAGGGGAATCAGAGGAGAACGGAGAGGAGACTGGAATAAACTGCAATTGATACCGACCAGCCTGATCCTCCTTCCTTCCTTTGCCTACCCATTGCCATCGGCCTCCCCGGGGTGGGGGAAGCGGAGACCACTGAATGCAAGCGGCAAGAGAGACAGAACATTGCTGCCCTTTGGTAAATACACAGCTTTGTTTTTGGAACACATCCAGTGATGCCCAGGAGTTACTCCTGGCTCTGTGCTCCGGGATCACTCCTCGAGCTCAGGGGACCATATAGGACTCTGGGGATGGAACTTGGGTTGGCCCCATGAAAGATAAGTGCTCTACCTGCTGTACTATCACTCTGGGACCCATCAAGTTATTATTGAATTTGTGTACCTCTCCACCTGCCAAATGTCTGTTCAGTGACTCATTCATTTCCTCATCATTCATCATTTCATTTAATCATTTTTTTACTCACATTGGAAAAAGAAAGTGAATTAAGAAATATAGGGATTTTTTGATTTTCTATTTTACATGAGAAGAAAGCTATGACCTCCCACTTTTTGTCATTTCCTTTTTGATTTTGGAACCACACTCAGTGGTGCTCAGGTCTTACTACTGAATCTGTGCTCAGAGGTTACTCCTGGTGGTGCTAAAGAGACCATATGTAGTGCTGGGTATCAAACAGGGTCAAACAGCTGCAAGGCCAGTGTCCTGCTCCTCACCTGTCTCTCTGGCCTCACTTAGACCTCACTCATTCCTTCCATTACTCATATAGTTACAATGAGATATTTATAACTAATTTTGCTGAACTAAAACTCACAAAAATAAAATAATTGACTCAACATCACACATCCAAGAAGTGGCAGGGCCAATGAACAGATTTGTGAACCGAAAACAAGGAGGAAACTCAAACTGAGCCTGGAGGGCAACAACCCCTAACTCTGAAAGTCATATTACAAACCAGACAAGTCAGCAAGAGTCAAACTTCCTAGGAATACTATATTTGCAGTATAATTTAGTATAATTGCAGCATAATTCAGAACATTATATCTGTTGTATAATTCAGATATATTTGCTATCTGAATTATAATCCCACCTCTTTAGGGGCATTTGCTAATCTTTCAGAACTGGATAAGAGCCAGAGTGATAGTACACCGGGTAGGGCATTTGCCTTGCACGCAGCTGATCTGGGTTCAATCCCTGGCATACCATATGGTTCCCCAAGCACTTCCAGGAGTAATTCCTGAGTGCAGAGCCAGGAGCAACCCCTGAGCATCACTGGGTGTGACCCAAAAAGAAAAAAAAATGGATATAATAATTCATTTTATATAAACAACCTGTTTAAAATATGGGCTAATTGTGAAGAGTAAGACTAGGAAATTTTAGTCTTTTCCATTTAACAAATGAAAAACATATAAAAGGCATTCCCAAAAAAGAGGAATTTTAGTGTCAAGAAACTAAAACATTATCTCCTAAGATCGGAGGGAGACAACCACAGCATTTGTGATATTAATACTGAACCTTTACTCAAAACATGTGTTAACTTTTAAAAATAACATCAGAGGGGCCAGATACATTGCTTCGGATGTGCCTGATACGGGTTCGATGCCCTGCACCCTATATAACCCCTTGAGCCTTGCCAGGAGTGATCCCTGAACTCAGGGCCCGGAGTAGTGCCAGGTGTGGCCCCCAAACAATAACAACAACAACGACAATAATAATAATAATTTGTATCATTCCTTTGTTCAAAACCCCCTTAGAGTTTCCTATTGTACTAGAAGATATTCCAAACTGCCTGCCATGGTTGACAAGGTCCTATGTGATCAACCTTTAGTTGTTTTGGAACTATACCAGTTGAGGGTCAGGGGCTACTCTTAGCTTGGTGTTGAATAAATCTATTCCCTTATTTTGACTTCCATTGTTATCACTAATTAAAAAATTTAAGGGCTCCCTATGTTGACAAATAAAATTCATGTATTGTATTTGACATAAAGAAGCTTTATATTTTGATCAGAACATTCCTCTTCAACCTTGTAGCACCTACCATTTATTCCCTTACTTGCCTCTAAGTTCAACATCAGAAATTCACTTTTTTCTAAAGACATCTCTATGCTTCTCTGTCTCTGGACTTTTAATAACTTATCTGCTGTACCCAGAATCCCCTGTACTATCATTATATACAACAATCATGCCTACAAGCCAGTGATTCCAAACTGTAGTAAAACAGCTAAAACTTATTAAGGAGTATGCCAATTCCATAATAAGACTAATAAACTGAGTTTTAGGCTAACTGCATTACCTCTTCTATCCTTATAACAAACCTTATTAATGAACACTTTGTAGTTGTTTTTATGATGTTTATTATTATTATTATTTCCAATGAGAAGGGCTGGAGCGATAGCACAGTGGATAGGGCATTTGCCTTGCATGTGGCCAACCCGGGTTCAAATCCTCTGCCCCCCTCAGAGAGCCCGGCAAGCTATCGAGAGTATCCCACCAGCACAGCAGAGCCTGGCAAGCTCCCCCTGGCATATTCGATATGCCAAAAGCAGTAACAACAAGTTACAACGGAGATGTTACTGGTATCTGCTTGGGCAAATCGATGAACAACAGGAGGACAGTGCTACAGTGATGCTAATGAGAAATCAAAAACATTAGATTATTATGTAATTTACCCAATGTCCCACATGGTCTCACAGTGGTACAGGCTCAAAATTTGAAATAGTCAGTGATGAAGGCATAAATGGGTGATATCTTTCCCCAGAACACAATGAACTCATTCTTAGTCCACATTTTTTTGAAATTTATCTAAGAACTTGTAGTTAAATAGTTTGAGTTTCCAACTGCAGTGAGGCCCAGAAATATCACATGATACAGGGTAGAATTAGGACCCAAGCTCAGGTCTAAAGATTTTTCCAAAATGCCTCACTGCCTTGAATGTCACCTTAACAATGAATGTCTTTCCCTTTATGTCATTTAGCTCTCATATGACTTAGTACTTCACCTCTAATTAATAATACCTGTTAAGTCAATTCACTTCTCCATCTCTACCAGCTCTACTCTAATCCATGTAATCATATGACTACCTTGAATAGGTCATTGCTTTTTCTTTGCAGGCAAAGATGTTTCTCTGCATTAGGTTTGTCCCTTCAAATACATATTACACATGATTAAACAATCATTTAAAAACACAGCTCAGGCCACACCACTCTTATTTCTTCTACTTTCCTTGTTTCTCCATCTCAAGATATACAACATTAGTGATCCAGTTGGTTTTGAACCCCACCTGGACTGTTAAAAAATAAATGAAGATATACACCAATGTACTGATTTGATCTCTTACACATTATAGTTAGCAGAGGATCTTATGATATGAGGTAGAGTCACTAAGTGAGCCTAGCTACAATATAGCTAGTTATAACAGCTCCTCACTAGTGAACACCAAGCGCTAGCTTCATCAATAAATGAAAAAAATTAAAAACTTATTTTCTCCTTCTTTTCTCTCACAAGCATAGTTGTAAAACTACTCATTTTGTGAAACTCACAATGAAAGGAGAATTGAAGGTCTATCATTTTGTAATCCTAGGCCAAAAGATCTAATACCTCAATGTCACTTTTTCAAGGTTCACTGAAAGAATAAATGCAAAAGTAAATAAGTAAATAAATGGCACAAAAGTGGTAACAAGGGAAAATAAAAGTGAAAAACAGAAGAAAAAGAAATCAAAGGAACAAGTGGGTGTGCCAGTCAGGTTAGTTTTGGCTCCAGGATGATGGCTATTCTGAAATATCGACAGCCCTGGAGTGACTCAGTCCTGGAGACTCTAAGAGAGTCCAACTGGAAGCAGGGGCCAGCCAAATGCTCCCTAGAAATAAGAAAGTGTGATCGTTTCTTCCCCTCTCATCGTACCCAGGAGCAGCAACAGATTGCACGTTCAGATCTTCTCTCATCCAAGACTTTCCATTGGCAGGTCAAGCAGCCGGTAATGCAGGTAAGATAGCACTTCCTACTGCATACTCTTGAAAGGCCTGTAATGTCCTGCTGTTCATCTTGCCTCTGAGCCATAGTTGACCCTTTTGCTAGAAGACAAATAAAACTATCAGCATAGAGTAGTTTCTTCAAAAGCAGGTGGATAAAAGTTTATAATCTAAGACCATGCATTACATTCAGTGCAGAGAAAGCTTTATCCTAGCTTCTCCAATAACTTGATGAATGCCTACTGTAATCATTGTATCATTCAAGGTTCAACTCTCCACTAAAACAGGGGCATATTCTATGCCCTAAAGGACTAACAAATTCTGAAAGTACCAAACTGGATACTAAGTGCAAATATGTATTTTATTTCAGGGGTGGGAGATGGGGTGGGGACTCCCCGGTTAAGATCAGAAGCCCAGAGACTACTGCTCCTGGTGGCATGGGCCAGATGATCAAGAGATCAGACCTGGTGATGTGGTGCAGTTCTGGCCCAGGGACGCTGGAAACCAGCAGATCTACACCTGGCAATGCTCAGAGGACTGTGCCATATGGAGAATGAGCCTGTGGTTTGAGGGCATGCAAGGTCTGTGCTCTAGCCCCCTGAACCATCTGCCCAACCTGAAAATGTGTTTTTCAAATTGTAATGTGTTCTTGAAATAATTTGAGATGTTAGGGGAATGACTGAAAACATAGTCCTGACTGTAGGGGATAGTGACATAGCTCCTTGCCCCTTTACTCCTCCTGTATGAATTCAGTTAGGATTAGGCTCTGTTAAGGAGGAAACATTCAAGTTAGCAACACAACAGCTTAAATAAACCAATAGGCGCACTTTGTGTTAATCCGGCCAGGGGTGTGGCCCAGTACATGTTGCATGGGTAAGGTCTCACCTGTGTAAGTCCCTGGGTTTCATCCCAGGCACTGCAAACGAAAAGAAAAAGAAGAAATTATGTGGTGTGCGACTTCAATGCAATAAAGAACCCTAACACCTTCTATCTTGCTTGTCTTCTTGGGATCCAAAATGGCTTCTATGTCCATCACTCCAGTTCCCGACTGGTGGGAAAGAGGGACAAAGAAGAGTGGCCCCGTTAAACCTGGGCATTAACAGAAGTTGAGCATGCCATTTCACTTTTTACATTTTATTTTATTTTTTTAAAAAAAAGGAAGGAAAAACATTTACGGACACCCATTTTTCTCTGTTTCTAAAGATCCTTGAACTCGGGTCTCCAGCGCAGGCAAGCAAGGCTCATCCACGAGTGTTCTGACCAACATGCACAGGAATCCAATAGTCGCTCAAACCCCCACCCACACTTCCGGGGGTGGCTCCAAAAGCGTCGGAAGAACCCGCGCCGGCCGCCGCACGCCCCCTACTGGAGGTTTGAGCCACAGCAGCAGGTTCCACACCACAGCCGCGGGCGGCGGCCACCGGCGCGGGTCCCAGAGGCGCAGGGAGGTGGCCACGGGCGCGGGTGCCAGTCGGGGGAGGCGGCCACGGGCGCGGGTGCCAGTCGGGGGAGGCGGCCACGGGCGCGGGTGCCAGTCGGGGGAGGCGGCCACGGGCGCGGGTGCCAGTCGGGGGAGGCGGCCACGGGCGCGGGTGCCAGTCGGGGGAGGCGGCCACGGGCGCGGGTGCCGCAGTCGGGGGAGGCGGCCACGGGCGCGGGTGCCAGTCGGGGGAGGCGGCCACGGGCGCGGGTGCCGCAGGCGCAGCCCCTGGACGGGGCGTCCCTCGCCCGCGGCCGGAGCCGGGGCGCGCGCCGGGAGCCACCTGGCGGGGCCGGGCGGCAGCGAGCGCGCAGGACCGGGCGTTGTCCAGCGTCTCCGCCCGGCCCGTCCTCGGGCTTGCGTGGCCCCCGCCGGGCCGACCTGGGCTCAGCCGCCCCCGGGGCGGGCGCTAACGGCAGCCACTGACTCACCTACCGCGCGGGCCGACCGCGCCAACGTGCCGCAGGCCCGACTGAAGCAAGAGGAAGCCCCCAGCTGGGTCGGGACTTGGAGCCTCGACGGTCCGCGCCCAAGCCCGGGAGCCCCGCCTCAGACGACCCGCGCCAGAAAAACACCTCAGACAAACGCCTCAGACAAGCGCTCCAGACAAGCGCTTCAGACGACCCGCGCCAGACAAACGCTCCAGACAAAACGCTTCAGACGCCAGAAAAACGCTCCAGCAAAACGCTTCAGACGACCCGCACCACAAAAAAACGCCTCAGACAAGCGCTCCAGATAAGCACACCAGACAAACGCTTCACACAACTCTCTTCAGACGTCTCGCAAGATGGAGCGCAGTAGGGGGCGTCGCCAGGCGGGGGCGTGGCCAACCGGACCGGTAGGGGCGGGGCCTGAGTGTGGGGCGGGGCCTGGGCGTGGGGCGGGGGTCTATTGGCCAAAGGGGCTATACGGTGCCTCTCCACATAAGAGTATCAGTGGGGAAGTGGGAAAAAATACTCACCCAATAATCATCAGATAGGGGCTTAATATACAGGATATATAAGATGGTGGTAGGATTTTATAAGAAAAAAACCTCTAACCCCATCAAAAAATGGAGAGAAGAAATGAACAGAAACTTCCACAAAAAAGAAATTCAAATTGCCAAAAGGCACATGAAAAAATGCTCTACATCGTTAATCGTCAGGGAGATGCAAATCAAAATAACAATGAGGTATCATCTAGCACACATTAATAAGAACAAGAACAATCAGTGCTGGCACAGATGTGGGGAGAAAGGTTCCCTCAATTCATTGCTGGTGGGAATGCCGACTGGTCCAGCCTTTTTTTTTTCTCTTTTTTGGGTCACACCTGGTGATGCACAGGGGTTACTCCTGACTCTGCACTCAGGAATTACTCCTGGCGGTGCTCAGGGGACCATATGGGATGCTGGGAATCGAACCCGGGTTGGCCACATGTAAGGCAAACGCCCTACCCGCTGTGCTATCTCTCCAGCCCCTGGTCCAGCCTTTTTGGAAAACAATATGGGCATTCCTCAAAACACTAGAAATTGAGCTTCCATATGACCAAGCAATACCACTCCTGAGAATATTTCCCAGAGATGAAAGAAAATACAGTGATATCTGCACCTATATATTCATTGCAGCACAGTTTGCAATAGCCAGAGTCTGGAAAAATCCCGAGTGCCCAAGAACAGATGACTGGTTGAAGAAACTCTAGTACATCTACACAATGGAATACTATGTGGCTGTTAGAAGAGATGAAATAATGGAATTTGCATATAAGTGAATGGACATGGAGAGTATCATGCTAAGTGAAATTAGTCAGAAAGAGAAGGACAGACATAGAATGACAGCACTCATTTGTGGAATATAAAATAGCATAACATAAGACTAATGACTAAGAGCAGTAGAGATAAGGGCCAGGAGGATCACACCACGGTTTGGAAGCTGGCCCTATGTGCTGAGGGAAAAGGCAGTTGGAAAGGAGAAGGAACCACTAAGTAAATGATAACTGGAGGTATCGCCCAGGATGGGAGATGTGTACTGAAAATAAACCAAGGACCAAACACAGTGACCTCTTAGTATTTGTATTTCAAATCACAATGCCCAAAACTAGAGAGCGAGTAAGAAGGATTGTACCTGCCACAGAGGCAGGGAGTGGGGTGGGGTGGGGGTGGCGGGTGGGACACTGGGAATAATGGTGGTGGAAAATGTGCACTAGTGGAAGGATGGGTGCTCAAGCATAGTTTGACTAAAGCACAATCATGCAAATTTGTAACTATCTCACAGTGATTCCATAAACCTTTTTTAAAAAGAAAAAAGTAATTCAGTGGGGGAGAAGGCAATTGGGATACAGAAGGGATCACTAAGTCAATGATGCTTGAAAGGATAGCTCGGGATGGGAGATGTGTGCTGAAAGTAGATAAAGGACCAAACGTGATAATTCTTCGATATCTATATTGCAAACCATAGTGCCCAAAAGTAGAGAGTATGTGGAAAACTGTCTGCCATGGAGGCAGGTGTAGGGGTGGAATGGTGGAGGGGGCAGTATACTGGGGACATTGGTGGTGGAGAATGTGCACTGGTGGAGGGATGGTTGTTCGATCATTGTGTGACTGAAACTCAAACATGAAAGTTTTGCAACTATCTCACTGTGATTCAATAAAATAAATAAAGAAAGAATTTCAGTGCTGAGATGGCACAACTAACTTTAGACCAGAGCACTGCTTTTTAAACTTCTTGGTTCCCAGGACCCTCCATACTTAAAAAAAAAAAATTGCTCCACCTTCAGAGCTGTGGGGATGCAGAAGAGCCCGCTCTCACACCCAAGGTGCCAGCCCACTGCTCCAACCTGGTGGGACTCACCCCCGTTCTTGGGCTGAGGATCAAGCCTAGGGCTTGCATCTGCAACCTTGCATCCAGTCATTTGAGCAAACTTCTTGACCAAGCAGAGAATGAAATTAGCTCTGAAAGTTGGTTATGTTCAAGTAAATACGGGCCTAACATTCTTTCTGGTTCACAAAGTAAAATGAAGACATGCAAAACAGAATACCAGACAGGCTTCCAATTATCTTATCAAATAAATCTAATTTTAGCATTTTTTAAAAAGACAGTTTCATTAAGGAGGGATACTAAATCTACGGGAGAAGGTAGAATGAGAAATAAGGAAGAGAAAAGAGGAAAGACAGATGGCGAAGAAAAAGTCAACATAAAGGGCAATTGTGTCCTGAAGAAGGACACAGGCAACATCAGGGTGGCGTGCTATAAAGGAGATGCCATGCATCCAGAGCTGGAATGCACCGATCATAACACTCGTATTTCAAAGAGCCTGAGTATTTGATGAATCTATGTGGGATACTTCAAGCTTGCCTGGTGATAGCAAGAAAGTCAACTTGGGGACATGAAGGTGGAGAGTTCTACTAAAATCTGCATCAGCCTTTGACTTCTCTGTGCCACATTGTGTCCAATTCAAAGCTAAACGAGAATGGAAATTTTGTTTAATTCGTGTCCTTTTTATTAATGCAATGAGTCTACTTTTTAAAAGAAAGGTCTTGCAATTAATACTTTTCTTTTAGTCTTTTAATACATCCATAATGAAGAAAAGTTGACCTAATATTATCAAAGGGATATTTTTCCTTTAAAAAAATT